TGGTTGTGTGCATAAGTCGTCTTTCAAAATGTTAACTTAACTGGCTTGTCAGAAAAGTTGAAGTTCATGGAATAAAAGCAACAGTGACAACATGGATACAAAGTGGGGTCGGTTATAGGAACCTGAGTAGTGGTGAACGATTAGTTGTTTTTCAGAATAGAGGATGGCATACAGTGAGCTTTCATAAGGATCAATATTAGAACTACCGCTTTAGTTGATATGAATTAGTGACCTGAACTTGGGTGTTTAGGGCGCAATTTCAAAATTCAAAGTACAAATTCAAAATGTACAGGTGATACAAAACTTGAAAGTATTGCGAACTGTGATGAGCAGAGTGGCAGACTTCAAGAGGACTTAAAATAGGCCATAGGAGTGGATAGTCAGCAACAGATGAGATTTAATGCAAAGAACTGTGAAACAATATAGTTTGTTTGGAAGAATGAAGTGAGGTAATGTAAATCAAAGGATACAATTTTAATGGGAGTTGAAATGACTTGATAAGGTCCCAACTAAGAGATTAATGTGTAAAATTGAAATGCATGGGATTGGGGTTAGTGTATAGACATGGACAGAGAACTGTTTGGCAGGCAGGAAATAAACAGTCGGAATAAATTCTTATTTTTCCAAGTGGCAGTCAGTGACTAGTGGGGCACAACAGTGGGGATCAGTGCTTGAACCCTAGCTATTCACAATATATATTAGCCACTTGATGAGGGAACTAAAGTAATATCCCCCAGTTTGCAGATGACACAAACCTAGATGGGATAATGAGCTGAGAGGGGGACGCAGAGATGTTTCAATGTGATTTGAAGAACTTGAGTGAGTGAGAAAAAACATGGCAGTTGAAGTATAATGTAAATAAATGCCACGTTTGTAGCAAAAACAGGAAGTCAGATTATCTGAACAGCGACAAAATCAGGAAAGAGGGAAGTTCAACAAGAACCGGGTATCCTTGTACAACAGTCATTGAAAGCATGCAGGTGCAGCAGGAAGTGAAGGCAGTGAATGATTTGTTGGCCTTCATAGTGAGCGGATTCAAGTACAGGAGTAGGTGTCTTGTTACAATTGTAAAGGGCCTTGGTGAGGCTACATTTAGAGTATTGTGTGCAATTTTGGTCTCCTTATCCGAGTAAAGATGTTCTGGCTATGGAGGGAGTGCAACAAATCTTGATTGTCCTCATTCATGGAATGATTGGACTGACATATGAAGAAAGACGGAATTGATTTGGACTATATTCACTGCAATTGAGAAGAATGAAGACAGATCTCATAGAAACACATGTAATTCTAGCAGGATGAGACCAGATAAATGCAAGGAGAACATTCCTGGTGACCAGAGAGTCCAGAACCAGGGGCCACAGTCTAAGGATACAGGGTAGACCTGAGATGAGGAGAAATTTCTTTACTCAGGTGATGACGACCCTGGAATTCTACGCCACACAAAGAGTTTGAGGCTTTTTGTTTTCAAGAAAGAGTTAATATAGGTGTTAGAGTTAAAGGCATCACAGAGCATGGGAAGAAAGTGGAAACAATATTGAGGTGGATGATCAGCCATGATCATACAGAATGGCAAAGCAGGCTGAAAGAGCAGTATGGCTTCTGCTCCTATTTTCCATGTTTCTCGGAGCTGAAAAACCTGAGGATATATGTGCCCAAATCACTGAAAGGAGAAAGCCATATTGATAAAGTGGTTAACATGGTGCATGGGATCTCGGGCCTTACAAATAGAGGAACATCATTCAAAAGCAAGAACATTATGGAAAAACAACATGAAAGACTGGCTCATCTTCAACTGACGTAGTGTTCCCAATTCTGGACACCACATTTCAGGAAGTTTGAAGATATCAAAGAGAAAGCAGAAAAGATAATACAAGAATGATTTCCAGGATGAAGAATTTCAGCTACATGGATGGATCGGAGAAGCTGAGTCTATTCTTTTTAGAAAAGAGAAGGGCAAGAAAAGAAAATTAATACGATTACTCAAATTCACGATGAATCCGGACAGTATAAAAGCAGCCATTCCCATTAGCAACAGAGTTGAGAACCAGCGAACACCAACTTAAGGTGAATGGCAAAATAATGACTAGCCTTTAGGATTTTGAGCACACAACCAGAAAACATGGAGGATGCTGATTCAATCACAGCCTTCAAACAACTGGATAATGTCCTGAAGAGAAAAAACATTGTAAGGCTACAGGGGAGTGGGCAAAAACTGTGACGAGCTTAAGTTTTTCTTGCCGAGCAGAGACACAATGGGCTGAATGGCTTCCTACTGCACTGTAGCCATTACGGATATCGACTTTTCAGCAAAAGATAAATTAGTTGAGTTGCTTTTTTTCTACTTTCAGTTAAATAGTCAAATGGGAATAACGGCTCTGTAAAACAACCTTCATTGTTCAATTTGTAAATAAATGCACCGTACTTAAAATCCAAGCTTAGAATTGTAATCTCCAATTCAGAAAACATATAACATATGTTCCATCTCCCTGGCACAAAACTAAATAAAAATTAAAGTCACGCTTTCTGAAGTTAACTTGTACTGATTAAACAACTTTCATATTCTTTTCATGCTGCATTTGAGACCTTTATATTGTAATCTTGAAGGCTGCTGTTTTTGCTAAATGTTCTTTTTGTTCATGCAGTACAAGGACAACAATGGGGCTTACCATATTATTTGGTCATTAGAATGGAATTCAAAGCATGTAACTTATCTCAATAAATTCATAATTGTGGTGTCTGACCAGAAGAACCTTGAACTTTATATGTTTAGCAACTGATGTCTACATGACAGATTGTCCAGAGAAGGAAATGAAAGCTATCTATAAAGGTTCCAGGTCAAACTTTAGGGGTAACTGTGCAAGAGGAAAATCAGTCTGATGATAAAAACACTGCAGTACCATAATCCACATTCCATTTTATAATTTAGGATGGAGGTAATAAACTAAAGGCCTTCACCTCACATTAACATTCACAAACAAAGACCTTTGCGCAACATTCTGTTTATAATCATTATCTGAAGAAATATTCTGGAATGATAATTCAGTTCAGACTTATCTTGAACTTGTTTTGATGCATTTCAATTAAGTAACAAGTCAGCTGCCAAAAATGTTTCTTGTACAAATGGACTATCGCAATGTTCTTGGAGTTTTACAAACATTAATTAATTAAAAATTTATTATACTTGGTGACAAATTGTACGTAATAGTTTGACAAGGTTAGCAAAGCAGGCTTCTCGAAGCATACCTAAATTTTCTCTACTTTAAGCACATCGTTCCCGGGTAGCAGATATAATTATCTTTTGTAAAAGATAATGATAACATTATTTTTGAAATTCAATATAAACATAAGACATTTTATATAAACACATTATATACTTTAATATAATTCTACTTCTAAGCACTGTCCATGATCAGAATGTTTAAAGTGTACTGTGCTCCAAATTCTCTATTGTTGTAATGACAACCTTCTAAATCAGAATGATTCACATCATAACACCTTATAATTCACTTGTCTCAGTTTTGAAAGGAATAATTAACATCAACATGAACACATTAGAGGAAAAAGGCCTTAAAATTCATCAATTTTGTCCCAGTTTTACCCCAGATGTGCTAGGGATCTCTTCAATATTGACCTCATCATAAACAGCATTTGTAATAATCACTGACAACAGTTCAGGAATTCCTCAGAGCTGATATTTTGTTATCGATCTGTTGAGACACGTTATTATACATCTCTGGAGCAGGTGAGACTTGAAACTGGGCCTCATGGCTCAAAGGTAGGGACATCACTACTGTACCACAAGTGCCCAAAGTTGCTTGGTCAGAGTCCGGTCTTCTAATCAAGGTTTCTTGTTATTTTTGTACTCTTAAGTAGAGTTTTAGATCCATTCCAATCAACCTTAAAACATTAAGGACATTACCACTGTACCACAAGAGCCCTCTGAAACCATATTTTAGATATTTTTGAATCACCTAGCTCAGAGATATTACTACACACTTCTGGAGCAGGTGGGACTGAACACTGGCCTCTGGCTCCGAGGTAGGTCCACTACCACTGCACCACTAAATCTGTGAGATTTCTCAGAGTAGTGTCCGAGGTCCAACCATCTTCAGCTACTTCAATCACCTTATGAAAGAAGGTCAGAGGTGGAGACTTTTGTTAATGACTGTATAATGTCCAGCACCAATTGCAACTCATCAAACAATAAAGCAGTTGGAATCCAAGTGCAGCAATAACTGGACAACATTCAGACTTGCATTAATAAGTAACATTCGCACCACATAGGTGCCAGGCAATAAGTATCTCCAACAGGAGAGATCCAACCATCACCCTTGATATTCATGAAGAATCTGTCAACTATCAACATCCTACCACGGACGAGCTAGACAAATACTGTGGTCAAAAGAATCGGTCAGGGGCTAAGAAGTCTGTATCTCAAATCTTACACCCTGGCTCCTTAAAGCCTATTCACCTTCTACAACGCAAGTATGAGACTGAGTATTCTCCATCAACGTGAATGGGTACAACTCCAACAACATTCAAGAAGCACAGCAACATCAGGAACAAAGCAGCTTTCTTGGCTAGTGCTCTACCTTAAAAATCTTCAATGTTTATTTCCTCCACCACTGACAGCGTGGCAGCAGTGTGCATCACCGACAAAATGCACTGCAATAATTCACCAAGGCACCTTAAACAATTCCTACCAAACCAGCCACCTCTATCACCAAGAAAGACAAGAGCAACAGACAAGAACACCACTACCTCCAAGCCACACACAATTCTTATTTTGAAACAATATTGCTGGTCCTTCACTGTCAGTGGGTCAAGATCCTGGAAGTCCCTTCCTGACAGTACTGTCCTAGGTCTGCAATCTGCCCAGCACTGCCAGCTTCATTCTTTAAACTATCCTTTCATACATTCCCTCTCCCCAGAAGCCTATTGTGAACTATTAACCGCAATGTAAAGTAAGATGAATTAAATAAGAAACTCAATGTACTTACTTGCAAATTAATTTCTGCTTCATAAAATGTTAGACATGCACAGTAGTGCCGATCTGAGTCAATATCTGTCAGAACCACCACAAAGTATGTTGGTTGCTTTCGTTCAGTGGACAGCTGCCAGCCACCAGGTTGACAAAACTAGAATTAAAAACAAATAATGAACACAGTCAGGGCACAATTTTGTTTCTCAAATGTTTTGAAGAATTTCATAAGCCAATGGCTCAAATATTATATGCTACTTGCCAGTGCAGTGAAAAATTCCAACGTTGATTAAATTGTATTTTTAATTTGCTAGAAATTTGAATTTAGAACAGGTATTTCAAAATAGTCAGCAGATCAGGCAACAGAGAGTCAATTAACCACATCGACATTCTTTGATCAGAACCGGAAAAAAGTTCCTTTCAAGTTCTGACTGTCATCCACCTGAAATATTGGGTCAGATTATCCAGGGAGTGGCAGTCTCATGTAGTTTGCCATTCGAGCCCTGCCGTTTTATAGAAGAAGAAGCGAGACTCCACTCAGCAGTCTCATTTTCTATTTTCCTGTCTGCAAGAACATTTCCAGAAACTACAGAATTTTGAAAGATAACCACCAATGCACCCACTGTTTCTGGCCACCACCTTCAACATTCTGGGATGAAGCTCATCTGGTCCAAGCGGTTTGTCAAAGTTTTATGCAGTATTTCAAGTACTACTTTTTTACGGAGATCATTTTCCTCAGTCTCTCAAGCCCCTTGGTCACCTAATATTTCTGGGACAGTTTCTGTCTCTTCTTTCATGTAGAGTGACAAAAAGTTAATTTACTTTTTCTGCCACTTCACTGTTCCTCTCTTTAATGTCTCCTATCTCCAACTTAATGGGCTCAATTTTGACGGAGCTCATCTTTTCAATACCTAACACAGCTCTTACAGTAAGCTTTCTGCTTCTCGCTAGTTTACATTCATATTCTGTTTTCCTTTCTTAGCCAGTTTCTTTTGCTTCCTTCACTGGACTCTAAATTGATCCCAAACCTCAGGGTTACAAATTTTATTTTGATGATGATTGATATTAGATTGATGGGGCAGAGGTGGCTGGGTTACATCTGTCATGCTTTTTGTGCACAGGGCACGCCTGGGCAACTTTTGTAACTAATACGGGACAGCTTAGCTAGGGGATGCAACTAGTTCTGGAATATGTCTTCAATATTATTACCGGAATGCCAAAACCATGTCACCAGAGGATTAGTCTGGGTCTCGGGGATTAGTAGTCCAGTGACAATATCTCTATATGCCACCATATCCCCTCAATTTAATACAATTTTCTAAGACAAAATACAGTCTACTAATAAATACTGCTGGCAAAGGTTCATCTCATTCCTTTCAGCTCTATACTGTCCATTCACATGAAAAAAGCTAAAGTGAAAGTATAAGGAATTATTTAAAAATATTCAAATATCACAATTAGTTCATGTGCTTGCATATTTCGTTAGGGAATGGTCACAACCAAGATAAAATCGGAGCTCCTCAACAGGTTCCTTATTTTCTCCCAATCAGTGTATTCCCCATGAAACCAATGTTGTCAGCCGCTAGAGGAAGTGACAGAAACAGGTACAATTATAACATTAAAAGACATTTGGACAGGTACGTGGATAGGAAAGGTTTGGAGAGATATGGGCCAAACAGAGGCAAATGGAACTATTTTTTAGGAAACCTGATAAGCATGGACCAATTGGGCCAAAGGGTCTGTTCTGTGCTATATGATTCTGTGTCAGCAAAGAACCAACCCTATTTGTGCCACAATACAGACAGCAATTATGGACATAATATTAAAATATGAACTTTACAAGGTCAGTATGTTTTAGGACTAGGTGTAGAGCTGGATGAACACAGCAGGCCAAGCAGCTGAGGAGCAGGAAAGCTGACGTTTCGGGTCTGGACCCTTCTTCAGAAATGGGGGAGGGGAAGGGGATTCTGAAATAAAGAGAGAGAGGTGGAGGTGGATGGAAGATGGATAAAGGAGCAGATAGGTGGAGAGGAGACGGACAGGTCAAGGAGGCGGGGATAGAGCCAGTAAAGGTGAGTGTAGGTAGGGAGTTAGGATGGGGGTTGGTCAGTCCAGGGAAGACGGACGGGTCAAAGAGGCGGGGATGAGGTTGGTAGGTAGGAGACGGGGGTGGGGGCTGAGGTGGGAGGAGCGGATACGTGGGAGAAAGGACGGACAGGTCAGGGAGGCAGGGACGAGCTGGGCCGGTTTTGGAATGCAGTCGGCGGCGGGGAGATTTTGAAGCTGTGAAGTCCATGTTGATACCATTGGGCTGCAGGGTTCCCAAGCAAAATATGAGGTGCTGTTCCTGCAACCTTCGGATGGCATCATTGTGGCACTGGAGGAAGCCCAGGATGGGCATGTCATCCAAGGAGTAAGAGAGGCAGTTGAAGTGGTCCGTGACTGTTTGTTGTGAACCGAACGTAGGTGTTCCACAAAGCAGTCTCCAAGCCTCCGCTTGGTTTCCCCGATGTAGAGGAGGCCACATCGGGAACAGCGGATACAGTATACCACGTTAGCAGATGTGCAGGTGAACATCTGTTTAATGTGGAAGGTTTTTTTGGGGCCTGGGATAGGGGTGAGGGGGGAGGTGTAGCACTTCCTGCGGTTGCAGGGAAAAGTGCCAGGGGTGGCGGGGCTAGTGGGGAGTGTGGAGCAGACAAGGGAGTCACAGAGAGTGTGGTCCCTCTGGAAGGCAGATATGGGTGGGGAGGGAAAAATGTCCTTGGTAGTGGGGTCAGATTGCAGGTGGCGGAAGTGGCAGAGGATGATGCTTTGGATCAGGAGGTTGGTGGGGTGGTACATGAGGATGAGGGGGATTCTGTTTTTGTTGTTATTGCGGGGAGCAGGTGTGAGGGATGAGTTGCGGGAAACGCGAGAGATGCGGTCAAGGGCTTTTCGACCACTGTGGAGGGGAAGTTGGCGATCCTTGAAAAACGACGACATCAGGGATGTCCGGGAATGGAATGCCTCGTCTCGGGATCAGATGCGGCGGAGGCGAAGGAATTGGGAATAAAGGATGGCATTTTTGCAGGAAAGTGGGTGAGAGGAGGTGTATTCTAAATAGCTGTGGGAGTCAGTAGGCTTGAAATAGATATCGGTTTCCAGTTGGTTGCCAGAGATGGAAACAGAGGTCCAGGAAGGAGAGAGAGGTATCGGAGATGGTCCAGGTGAACTTAAGGTTGGGGTGGATGGTGTTAGTAAAGTGGATGAACTGTCCGAGCTCCTTGTGGGAGCACGAGGCGGCGGTGATACAGTCATCGATATAACGGAGGAAGAGGTGGGGGATAGGGCCAGTGTAGCTTCGGAAGAGGGATTGTTCCACGTATCCTACAAACGTACAAACGGACGTACCTGCCTGTCTTCCTTCGACTGACCAACCCCCATTCTAACTCCCCACCTAAACTTACCTTTACTGGCTCCATCCCCGCCTTGTTGACCTGTCCGTCTCCTCTCCAACTATCTGCTCCTTTATCCATCTTCCATCCACCTCCCCCTCTCTCCCTATTTATTTCAGAATCCCCTTCCGCTCCCCCATTTCTGAAGAAGGGTCGAGACCCGAAACGTCAGCCTTCCTGCTCCTGTGATGCTGCTTGGCCTGCTGTGTTCATCCAGCTCTACACCTTGTTATCACAGATTCTCCAGCATCGGCAGTTCCTACTATCGCTGAGTTTTTAGGGCTGTTTGTTTAATTTAAGGTGAAACAGAGCAGAGGTTCACTTGACCCACTCCAAATGCTGCTCAATAAAAAGCTTAGTTGTTTAGTTGCTAGGGGAAACAATGATATCCAGCAAAACATTCACACCAGTAAACAATAACCTGGACAACAGTAGATAGATGTTAGTTTCTAAGTCTCAGAGAGGTATTAGCAATGTGACTTTATAAAGAATAATACATTAAAACTGCCTATTTAATTCCAAGATAGAATTAGGACAGTCTAACTATTTCTAGGAAGAGAGAGGAAGGCATGACCATGAATGAAGCAGATAAGAAACAGGAAATTGTGATGGTGCAGGAGCCCAACCCTTGCAATTATCTAACAAATTTAAGATGCTCACTTGTGTGGATGAATGCAAGGTCAGCAGAGAAATAGTGCGAGCACACGCAGTGAGGTGTTGGTGGGTGAATTGAGAATGAATGGTGTGGTAGCTGGGGATAGTACAGTTGAGAGAGGGGAGGGTGATAAACACTCTTCTGTGCAGACATGACCACGGGTGCAGAAGTCCATTTAACCTACCTGGTACTAGAGTTCAAAATATCTGTTCAGGTTTAAACAGGAAGTTGGAGAAGAAGGAGGGGTGAATCCAGTTCTCATGGCTCTTAAATGTACTAATGACATTGGGAGGATTAGAAAAAGGCTCTGCTTAGACACTATAAGGAGCTCGGCACCAAACTGAACAACAGAACCTCAAGAGTAACAATCGCTAGATCGTCTGAGCAATGTGTCATTTGGCAGTGGGCACATAAGTTAGTCACGTGAGCTCATAGCTCAAAGACGGTTGTGGGAAAAGTGGGTTCCAGGTCATGGGACATGGGTGGGGCTAAGTGGGCACCATGTAATTGGGTTGATCTCTACTTGAACCATGCTGAGACCACAGTTCTAGCAAACCATATAGCTGGGAAAACAGACAGGGTTTTACATTAAGCAATGGCAGTGAAGGATCAAGCTTGGGTAGATGAAGCAATTCAAGTCAAGGCAGAACAGAAAAATAGTAACATAGGTCATAGCATGACAAAAGGAGGTTCAAGTGCACAGAATTTATAACAAAGTAAACTAATTGATTGCATACAATGAAGTAAATAAGTATGAACTGATAGCAATTACAGAGACTTGGCTGTGTAGTGACAAGGGCCAGGTCCTGAATATTGAGAGCTATGTTAAAAGTATTTGGGAAGGCAAGCTAGGTAAAGGTGGAGGGGCAGCTCGTTCGTCAAGGATGGCAATGTGCGGCAGTCAACAGGTGACTGGCGTCAAAGATCAGAATACATGATTAATTTCTGCGGGGAGGAGGAATAACAGAGGAAAGGAGTTATCAATGGCCTGATCTACAAGCTCACTAACAGTAACTACAATGTGGAATAAAGTTTACTGGTAGTAGTACTGTTTTTGATGAGGGT